TGCACCCTCCTATGACAGTTGAGACTTATAAGAGGAGAATTTAATGCCAAGTACAGCCTGAAGCAGACATGGGCAGAACCCTGGTGAGTGGGTTATTACAAGTGAGGCACAGCATCCAGCTGAGAGCAACAGCTGGGCTTGCAGGACAGGTGGGAGGACCAAGAGAGTAGGAGCCCTTAGGGCAGAGGCTCTGTGGGGGAGCAAGGGAATTCTCATTTACAGTATCCACTTCCCTGACTACTACTGTCCCTAAGCCATTCAGTGGGTGTAGTTCATACTCTAATTCTTTATGTTAATACAATCCCTTCTTGGAATATCTACAGTGGCATCTGTTTGATTCTATAGATTCCAACTGCTGTGACAAAACATGTGCCTCAGATGCAACAGATTGTGCTCTTAATGAAACCCAGAGAGGCACTGATCTGTTTGTGATGCTGGAGATGAACAGAGGAAGAGCTGGTATGCAGAGGAGCCGCATTGGCTAATTCTAGTGAGACCTTTGGGGACCATCAATGCCACCTGTGTGATTTGAGAAACTCTCTCAGCAGGTGACAGCACCAGGGGGAGCAGCTGGGCCAGACCAGCCTCACACTTCTGCATTCCTGGGAGGTTTACCTCATGGTTTGTATCACTCTGGGAGGGTACTGATGATAATGCTGACAGTAATAAGCTGCAACATCTTCAGGCTGCAGGGTGCTGATGGTGAGAGTGAAATCTGCCCCATAACCACTGCGGCTGAAAAAATCCTGATTCCAAACTATCGGCACTGTAGAACAGGGGTTTGGGAGATTTTCCTAGTTTCTGTTGGTACCAAGCTAAGTTCTAACCAACGTGCTCACTCTGTATGTGCTCGCCCTGCATGTGATGGTGACTGCATCTCCTTCAGATGCAGAGAGGAAGGTTGGAGTCTGGGTCATGCGGATATCACCTAGAGTACCTGATACTGAAAACAAACAAAAAAATCCACACAGTTAGTTATGTTAACAGAATTTTGTGAAGAGGAAGCTCTCATCACACCAGACTGAGCAAAGTCCCAGTGCAGCAACTCACTACCTGGGAGGCTGATCAGCAGGAGCCCTAGAAGCTGAGCAGGGGCCCTCATGTCCATGCTGCATCCTGACCAGGATGGATTTCTGCACAGCATCCTAATAGCCTTTTAAGTTTCAGAGCACTGAGCTGTGTTCTGGGCACACGCAAATCAGCAGGGCCAGACAGGCCTCAGTAAAGCAGTGTGAAGGTTTCCAGTGGGCCGAGATCAGACCAGGGCAGCAGACACAGGAACGTATCCCCCAGGGCATGCTCCTGTGACCCTCTTCCAGTAATGTTTGACACCCTAACAGCACATTCTGTTTCTGAACACATGAAAGGATGAATGTCCTGGAGAGTACAGCAAGGCCCTGTGATAGAATAAACATATACATGTGCACTGCCGAGTAAGTGACCCTTTAGGGGGACAGTCTCAATAATAACAATCAGACCACTGTGTTCCCTAAAGGAAAAGAAAATGTCAAGAGGGATATTCCTGTCATAAGGAACCTGGGAGACATGAGGGCTCTGTGAACTGAAGATTTGAGGAGCTGGGGGAGGCTAACTCTGCTCCTGATATGAATATTTTGGCACATAACAATTTGTTAGGAGCTCTCTGACATTGTGACCCTGAAAAAGGAGTTAGTGTTTCACTCTTATATGGTTAAAATAGTAGAGGAATACATATGTTATGACTTCTCTTACTCATAGACACAGAATTGTGGCAAGAATTCAGAGCACACACATGCTCTAAAAGAAAGATTTTTAAAATTTTCTTGCTTCAGTTCTCTCAGCACTAAGACTTCCCAATCAGAGAGCACATTTTCTATATGCAGAAAATGTGGAAGGGAAGGAGAAAACTAAAACAGGAAGACAAAATGGACAGTAAGAGGCCCTACATCATTTCAGCTCCCAGAGAGCATGATGGGAGTGGAAGCAAATCCGGAGACAGAAAAAGCCTCTGAGATATTTCAGGAGCTGAACTGTGTTCCTCTCTTTTTCTTCCTACAGTCATCCATTGCACCTGTCCTAGGGCACCCACTCCTGGGTCTATGGTCTCCTCTCTGTGTAAACAAGCTGAACAAATTGTCTACCCAACTTCAGAGAGCACAGTGAAGAAGACATAATCCTGGCAGTGTCACCAGAAACACAGTGAGGCTGAAAGGCTGAGGGGACCAACAGGGACTGGAGCCTCCACCCAGGAGGAAGATGTGGGCTCTTGCTGTGGAGCGCTCAGCCTCATTGTGACAGGTCAGTGGGGAGCAAGTTCTCTAAAGTTCAAGTCTTATGAAAAGATGCTGGATGTTTGTGGGTAGGCTTTATGTGACTCCTGACCTATGAGGGGTAGTGCAAGAGAGAAGAAAAAGAGAGGAAAAAAGAGAGCAGTCAAGGACTACTGATCATTGGCAAGCATATGCACAAAAATAGTGGCGACTTTACTGGTTTATGGGACTGAGTACAATGTCCCCACTCAGGCCCATAGAAATTGCAAATGCATGAGAGTAAGTGTCCTTTCTGTAGATTTAAATGGAAGATATTCAGAATATATGATTTTCTTGGAAGAAAAATTGGGGCTTAAAGTGTAATTCCAGATATTTTATAAGAGACAGATGGAAATTTTAGCACAGCCTGAAGAGTGGACCTGGAAATCCCACTAAGTGGCCAAAACAAAGCAGAGCTGTAGCCTTTAGGAAATGGGAGAGGCGAAGAGCACAGTCCATCCTACATGCTCTCCTCAGAGCCCCACCAGCAAGCACCATGAAGTTTGCTCATTGAAGCTTATTAAGACCTTGGCCCCAGAATCTCAAAGAATATGTCACCATTGTTTTAAACAAACAATTTTGGTATTTTGTGAAAATAGTCTTTCAGAACCAAAAAAATAGGGATGAGGGAAAATTCTACACTAAGACTGCTGAGTGTTTGAAGTCTCCTTGTTCACATTCCTAAGGTTACACAGGTTGGGTGGGTGGAAATTATGTATGGACAAAGAAATCACATGAAATACTGAATTTATTGTGAGTCACAAAACAGCTGGATAAATGTTTCTAATGTGGTATAAATAGTATCTCATTAATACTATCTGATAAAGTCTCTTCATTTAACCTAGTCAAAGATATCTTTAAAAGCACACAACTTTTCTCAAAAATACATATATTTCAAAGTGGATTCATTGTATGATTCGATCCCCATAACAAACTTTGATATGATTAGTGCTGCATATACAAGAGAATCTGGAATCAGACCCACCATGATTTTGACAAACCAAATGGCCAGTGATAACGGGGACTAAGATTTCCACCCAGATCTATCTGCCTTTTACTGTATTCCTTCCATGCAGACCATTATTTCAGAGTTGAGTCCAAAACCTATAAAATAGATGGTGGAACAATTGAGTGTGACAGGATAAATTTATAGCAACCTACTGTCCCTGTTCCATACAGTGATGATCCTAGTCTTAAACTCAGCCCTTTCAGAGATGTTTTAAGGACTCTCTAAGCTTTCACATGGTGGAATGGACTCCCTTCAGATTTGTGGGCAGGGGTGCCTGTTGGATGACCCTGGCTGCCTCTTCATTCGTTGGTCCTTTCCCCACACTCTGACTCCATTCTTCCCTCTCATGCTCTAATTTATACTTCTAATTGGACTCTAAATCCAGAGACAAGTAAAAAAAGAACACAGAGAAAAGTTCCTTGCCACCCAGCTTCTCAGAGAGCACATTGAACCCTTCTCATATTTCCCAGATTGACAAGAAATAACAGTATTTTAACAAATAAGAGATTTCTGCCTAAGGAGAACTGTGATGCTGGTCCTCTTTATCATAACTTATTTCATGCCTGTCTTCATACTAACAACTGATAAACACAAGACAGAAAGGGGAGACATAGCACAGCAAGCCACCTACTCACAGAACAAAAGATATTATCCCCACTGCTAAGTGTCCTGTTATGGATTTAATAAATCACCTCGAGCTCACATCATACAAGTCGAGGTGATCACCTGCCAGCATGGAGATCAGAATTCCCACTGAGCGCACCCTTAAACAGCTCACAGGGAGAGATTCTAATTCCCTGCCTTTCTGGCTTCAAGATGCTCCACATTCCGTTCTCCAAGTTGCCTTCATCTCAACACCCCATCATCATTTCTCATCGCCTTGATTTCTTTCTGTGTCTCTATTCCTACCTACAATGGGCACCACTGTGTTTACACTCATCTCCCTCAGATAGTTTAAGATAATATTCGAAGCTCAAAACCTTTAACTTAAGTACATCTGCCAAGTGTCCCTTGTCACATAACATATTTTATACAGTCTCAGGATGTAAAGTGGAAAACACCGAGGTGTAAGGCATTTTTCACCCACCTACAGGGCCAACCATCCTTACTGTTTAGTTCCTGTGTTCTCACTGGAGCCCCGCATGCACTCCTGCAACTGAAGGGAAGATGGCTTATTTTGGTTTACACCTTTAATCTGTGGCTGCCTGGCTGAGAGACAGAAACAGGATGGCAGAGGTGTGTGGCAGGGGAAAAGGCACTCAAGGGCTGACAGCCAACAAGCAGAGATAAAAGGAAGAATCCACCAATAGATGTGTAGGAGTTCATGCCCTTGTGACACCCGTCCCAGAAGGCCTCTCCTCCTAACAGCACATTCAGCTTCTGAACACACACAAGGTTGAATCCACCATAGAGTATAGTGACCCCCAAAGACCACCTAAGACATGTGGGGTACATGCTATCTATCTAAACATAACACCCAGGCAACAGCCCTTGTCTAAAGAAAATACAATTTCTAAGGCAGATACATAAGATAAGGAAGCTGCAGTTAGGAGATACAGGATGTGAAATCCATAGTCTAAAGTAGCTTTCTAATGCTGATTTGCATTTGCAGACAGCACAGCCCACTGCTCCAAGGACTTCTCAAAAGGCTGCTTACACACAGCCAGTTCCAGAGTCAGTCCCCATCAGGACACAACCTGGACATGAGGGCCCCAGATCAGCTCCTGGGGCTATTGCTGCTCTGGCTCCAAGGTAAGGAGGGGCAGCCCCGGGGATTTCCTCAGCCCAGTGTGGACAGTGCTGCACTTCAGTAAAGTCTTCTTGGAACATGATTAATCGTGTGAATATTATTTTTGTGTTTCTGTTCTCAGGTGCCAGAGGTGACATCCAGGTGACCCAGTCTCCAGCCTCACTTTCGGCAGCTGTAGGAGACACAGCCACCATCACTTGCAGGGCCAGTGAGGACATTAACTATGGCATACATTGGTATCAAAAGATATCAGGAAAAGCCCCTAAACAGCTGATTTATGTGGCAGATCAATGACTTTCTGGGGTCCCAGCAAGGTTCAGTGGCAGTGGATCTGGGACAGATTTCACTCTCACCAGCAGCAGCCTGCAGCCTGAAGATGTTGCTGTTTATTTCTGTCTACAGGGCTATGATAGCCCTCCCACAGTGATAGAAGCCATGACCTAAACCTCCTTAGGAAGGAGAAGTGTGAGCCTGGGCTGACCCAGCTGCTCCTCCTGCTGTGGACACCAGCTGAGAGTACTTTTCAAATGTAATTGTGATTTTCTTGTCACTGAGAGGTCTTTGGAGAAGGAGGCAAATCTGGAATCAGAGAAATGCCTCTGGAATATTTCAGTTTACATAAAGGAGCTGGAGTGTGTGAGCCTGCTCCTGTAATCATCTCATGCTAGAGTCTGTGGTCTTCCCTCTGTGCAGAACAAGTCATCTACCCAACTCAGAGAGCACAGTGAGGAAGTCATAAGCCTGGCAGCGTCACCAGAAGCACAGTGAGGCTGAAAGACTGAGGGGACCAACAGGGACTGGAGCCTCCACCCAGGTGGAAGATGTGGGCTCTTGCTGTGGAGAGCTCATCCTCATTGTGACAGGTCATTGGGGAGCAAGTTCGCTCAAGTTCAAGCCCCAGGACCAGCTGCAGCACATTTGTGCATAGTCTTTACAGATGTGGCTTCAGACCAATGGGGAGAGAGGAAGAGGGAAGAAAAAGCAGGAAAATGAGACAGCAGGTGTGGGAGACAGATCATGTGGCAAGTGTGCCACAGAAATAGTGACTCCTTTCTGGGTTAGCATCCTGAGTACCATGAACCACTCTCAGCCCATAGAAGTTGTGAGATTACTTTATGTAGGAAATATTTTTACAGGTTTAAATTGAATATATTATGATGATGACATTATCCTGGATTGAAAATTTGTGCTCTCGGTGTAAATATAAGTGTTTTGCAAGGGACAAATGGGAAGATTTAGTGCACATGAAGGAGAAAACCTGGAAATGACATAGAAGACACTGGAGGGACTGGCCACAGCCAAGGACAGCCACAGCATCCAGGACCTGGGAGATGCAAGGAGCAAAATCTCTCCAATAACCTCTGCCTGGGTCCTCACCAGCAAGAATCATGATATTGGATTGTGGAAGCTTATTTCAGACTCAGGCTTCCTGAGTCTTGGGGAATTGGCATCTACTTTTGTTTAAAAAGTGGTATTTTGCTACAAGAGCCCTTGGAAAGTAACACAAATGGGGCTGAGAGAAACTCTAGACTAAGTCTGCTATGTTCCCAGTGTACTTGTTCAGTTCCTCGGTGTTACATAGAAATAAATAGTAAATTTTGTACAGAGAAACAAATCACTTGAAACACTAAATTTATATAGAGTCACATGACCAGTCTAGACTGAATATTGCCGATTTTATTATAAAATCACATCTGCTAAAATCTCAAAATCATGTTACACAATCTATTTAAAGGTATAAAGCGACTGACTATTCTCAGAAAATATATATTTCAGAGTGTATCATGACAGTAGACCTCCAAGAAAAATGTTGGTACATTTAGTGCTGTATGGTGTATGGTGTATGGTGCTGTATGGTGAGAGAATCTGGGGTCAGTGCTCACGATGGTTGCTACAAAATCAAGTGGTCAGTGAGTGTTTGGACTGAGACTTGAACACAGGTCTGTCTTCCCTTAAATATATTCCTCTGTGCAGCCACTGTATTTCACCGATAAATGCAAGACCTACAAAATAGGAGGAGGAGCGTACAGAATGCTCACATGAAATTCACAAGCAACTTCTGCATCTTCTCACGCCAGGCTAATCAGATCTTACCTCAGTCCTGCTCCAGGTTTTCTGTTGTGTTGTTTCATTGTGTTTTCTTTTGCTTTTTTTCTTTTTTTCAGAAAAAGCATCTTGTTCTTCTCATGTTGTAGCTGATTGTTAAAATTGAGGGTAAAGGGAACATTTTATGTGACCTGGATCCCTCCCTCCTCCCCCTTTTTACCCTAACACTCTGACTCAGTCTTTCTGACTCAAATTCTAATATATTCATGTAATTTATCTCTCTTATATTAAAACAACAAATAGAAACCTCCAGCTTCTGTGTGATCAGACATCAAGACATTCGATACCCAGATTAACAAGAGATAAAGTATGTTACCAAGAGATCTTCTGATTAAAGAGAACTCCAGGAGCTGGTTTTCCTTATTATAAACCTTCCATTCCTCTCTCAAAATGGACAAGAAATAAATACAAGACAGAAATGCTAGAGATATCAGAGGACAGCGACCTCCTGGAGGTAAAACACACTCCCCTCCCTTGTAGAAGTTACTTATTATGTCTCTAAGAAGTCACCATGATCACATCCACTTCAAAGAGCCCTCATTGATTACCTTACAATTCTGGAGATCACCATTCTCAGTGGGCTCAAGTCAAGGAGTCATGATGACTACGTTCATTTAAGAGGCTCACAAAGAGAGACTCTAAATCCTGGTCTTTCCTGCTCCAAGAGCTTCCACCTTTCCTGCTTCATAAGCCCTTGCTCCCATCTCTCATCTATCCCATTTCATTGTTGTGTTCCCTCGCTGTGACTCTTCCTGTCTATTATGAGCACCACTGTGTGGACCTTGGTCCCACCCAGGAAATTCAAGATATTCCCCCAGGCTCAAAATCCTTAACTCATGCACATTTGTTAAGGGTTAAAACTAAATATAGAAAGACCTCCTCTGTTCATTGTGCTCTTGTGGCCTTGTTCTAATGATGAGTTGTCAGACGTCTGGCAGGGCTTCTTGACATGAACAGGATTCTCTGTGAGCCTGGCCTCTCTCAAGGACATTCTCACTCTGAAACACCTATTTACGTGGTGTAGAACCCTGTTCCTTTGGGCACTTCTTCAGTAGCTGGAGGCTTCCAATTCCCTGCCCCTGGTCATGTGCACAGTTAGGACTCTGTCATGTTTTCTTGACTGTTGATTGGGGAACTCACTGGCAGGGCATGCAGGGGAACTTTGGGAGCTCATTTCAGGTGAGGACACTCTGCCTACACCCTTTCCACTCAGGCCCCTTAAAGCTGTGCCTTGGATTCCCGAGCACTGGACTTCAGGAACTGATACTTTCCTCTATTTGTTAATGTAATTTTCTTTTTCTAATTTCAACTACTTCTATATAACTGTGTAACGATGGGGGTTAATCAACAGTTCATCAGCCAGAAGTGGTGGCATACATCTGTCATCGCAGCACTCGGGAGGCTGAGGCAGGACGATTCCTGTGAGTTCGGGACCAGCCTGCACTGCATAGTCAGTTCCAGGTCAGTCTCAACTAAGTAGTGAGACCCTGTCTCAAAACAAATAAACAAACAATGAACAGTTAATTAAACTTTTATTGATTGTCTTCAACTTCTGTTAGAGGTGTTAGGTGCTTTGTTGTTTAGGAATGTGGATTTGTAAATGCAGCACCTGGAACTGTAGTCTCATTAAAGCTATAATGTGCCAAGTAACCTTTACCATATAAGCTACTGTTCATAAGATCCAAGCATTAAAATATATCTTAGTCACCTTGTCATCACTTGGAAGAAATCACTGACAACTAAAACTCAGAGCATGATAGTGGACTTTGGCACCCAGTTTTATCCCAGATTTCTGGTTCCATGGCACAAACATGAGGGCAAAGGCGCATGGCAGAAAGAAAGGAGCTCAAGCCATGGCATCTGGGAAGCTGAGGGAGAAGCAGTAATAACATGAGCCACCCAGGAAAGCAGAAAGCAGAAGTGTGAGGCAGGTTCCCGGCTGCTTCTCTTGACATCCCATCCGCTGCGTGTGCCTGTCAAATGAGCTGGCTAAGAAAGTAACTGAAAGATTTTGGTGTCATCCTGAGGCTTCGAGTAGCTGGAATGACAAAATCCTCTCCTCCAGATCCATGGAACTTACAGGGACTTCTAACAGCAAATGGAAATTTAAGGACCTGCCCTGGTTCCCACTGGTTCTAGATATTTTGTGGAGGTGTGTGTGTTTGTGTGTTTGTGTGTGTGTGTGTGTGTGTGTGAGTGATGACATATTGTAGCTACAATATTCACATTTGTACAGTTTTTTTTCATGTTTTCAAATAAATTGGACACTTATGAAGGATACATTAAGCAGGTTCCAAAATCTTGGTGTAAAGTCCTTAAATTATTCCTATTTAATAATTTATCAAGTAATTCTTTGCTGATGCTCAGTGATATTAATTATATTTACCCAGTGATAACACTGTTTCTAGTGTACATAAGTACTAAGTATCTGACTCCCACTATAAGAGATGGTGACTATCTCCTAGAGAGTAGAAAGGAAGGATGGAGAGTAGGTCATCCAAAATCAGATCCTGCAACTGATATAGAAAACATGAAAACAAATATCCAGGTAAGTATTCATGATGTACAAGGACTGCCAGCAAGTGCCACACAGCACCAGCATATTGGGCCTAATTCTTACTGTTGTTCTTCCTTACTTGGAACCAGAGGAGCAGAATTCTGGAAAAGTGGCTGCTGAATTGAGAAAAAAAACACAGTGAAAAAAATCAACCTATAAAGCTTTGATTTAGTAAGGAAATCATTAACTTATGATATACAGTGTGATAAGAACATAACCATTAATTAAAGACTGTCTGCTATACAGTTTTACCACTGTGTCCAGACAAGGCTAGAGACCTCTGCTGAAGTGCCTGTGAGAAGTGATGCATGGGAGATATTGGGCCTCACTGAGCAGCCACACGTTGGAATTTTTTGTTTAGACCATGTACAGAGCCTGTTCTTTTTTTCCTTTTATTGTTTCTTGGTACATTATAGGTAGAAAGTGCAGCTACATTCATTACAGTTTACATAAGAAGTATTGAATGTGTGAATTCAAATATCCAAAATATGGAAATGATATAGTTTTGATTTTATCTTAGTTAATGAGGCATTTGAAATATCTTTTTTCAACTGTTTGAAATATCATTTTGTAAAAATCAAATTTCTGATACTGTCAGTTCAGAATTAAGGGTAAATTCCTGATTAATGTTATGTTTACCACAGATAAAGTAATGCCCCTTTAAACAGAGTGTTCTAACCACGTACAGAGCCTGTTTTAATGCAGGTCCTGATCTGTACGCGTCAACCACAGAATGCAGTTTTCTAATTTAAGCTGCAGTATAAATGACACTGCTGAATTC